TAGTACTATCAGACTAGAGAATCAGTAGTAATATCATCCAAGATAACTTTTAAAGTTTTCTATTTTTAGTAAGCCCATGGCCTGGACATTGATACCAGAAGGTAGGCTAGGTTTAAGTGGATTCAAAGAAATTAAACAGAGATGTATCATTTTTCAAATTATGGAGTTAATAAAAAACATTTAATTGAATGGTTATATTTTTATAGGAGCTAACACTTAATTCTTAATTTATCTTTAAGGTATCTTTAGAACAAGAATTATTAATCTTTGTTGTATCATGGACCCTACTGGTTTGGTGAAATCTATGGATCCTTTCTTAGAATAATGTTTTTAAATAAATGAAGAAAGGGGTAAGTTTCAGTTGGAGGTTAGTGAAAATAAAGATGTAATTTTTTCCATCCAAATTCATGGGCCCCAGTTTAAGAGTCCTTGTTTTAGAAGATATACCCAAATCAGTGTTAACTCTATACTAAATGGGAAATATCACTGATACTACTTTAAAAGCATTTTGCTAGTTTATAGCATTTCCTTGAAATGTTTCTTGTATGATAGTTAGTTATATCCTTTCCCTTATTATGTATGTTCTTTAAGAGTAGGATTTGTGTCATCCTTTTCTTTTTTTACACTCCCCAGGGTAGCACAGTGCACGCTCTCTGGCTCGCTCTTCTCTCTCTCCACACACATACACACATATGCATATACACACATGTGTATGTGTATATATATATATATATATATATATATATACATACACACACACATATACACATATACNACACATACACACATATGCATATACACACATGTGTATGTGTATATATATATATATATATATACATACACACACACATATACACATATATACCTAACCTGTATGTGTACACACACACACACACCCATACCCCTAACCTGTGATTTCACTGGTACAGGGAATTGTCAGTGAGGAAACACCCTCTACCAATGCAACTAAAATGTAGTCTTACTAGGGTTTGAAAAGGGATCACTAAGAAGTTAAGGGGCTTGTTTCCATTTGTGAAGGAAAAGTGGGTAAGAGTCATATTGTGGAAGATCTTAAATTCCAGGTTTGTATTTTATACCATAGGCAGTGGGGAGCCATGGAGGGTTTTTGAGCAGAGGAGTAACATTTCAGATGTGTCAGAGGTGAGACTTGAACCCAAATCATCCTGAATACAATTTTCTATTCAGCCACTAAACCATGCTAATTTCTACAGTAGAAACAATGAGTATTTTCTGAATCAGAGAGTTGAATCCAAGGCTAAGAATGCTACTTTTTAAAAGAGGTTACAGGTCTTAATTTAATAGGTGCATGTAATTCAACTAAGAATTATGGTGACTAATGTTTTATGGATGCAAACAACACCTTATACTGTGCAAGTCACAGGACTTTCCCCTCCCATACTCCCCTTTCCTCACCCCACCTTGGGATAGCTTTCCTTGGCTATTTCAACATAAATCTGAGGAATGCTCCTTCAATATATTTCATACTAAATCCAAAGAAAGCAGTGAGAGCTTTGCCACTTGAGTCTCAAATAGATCATCATTTACATACAAACCAAATAAAAGATCTTTCAGAGGAGAAAAGGAAATTAACTTTGACAAAAGTGACATTGGCAGAAGGATTAGAAATTGATTTAACAAAGATAACTGACCATAATATAAAAATGAAGTCAAATCCCAAGAGGATAATTTTTCTATGATCCCAGACTGAGCAAAATATCCTAATTTAAAATGTGTGACTAACCCTTTTCTGGAGTTCTAAGTCAATTTGTAAATTTTCAAGCTGGTCCACTAATGTGTTTGACCAATCAAGTGATTACACCTTTTCATGGTGACAATCTGGATTTGGATTCTGATTCAATATTTAATAATTCACTGTAGGTATTCTATGATAAGAGTATGACCTAGGGAGATGGCTTGACATGGGAGATGATGGAAATAGCTTGGAAGCAAGAATACCTGGCTCATACTGCCCTTTAGAGAACAAAATTGGGCAGATTATTTTTATTTTTATTTTATTTTTGCTTTTTTGGTGAGGCAATCGGGGTTAAGTGACTTTCCCTGGGTCACACAGCTAGTAAGTGTCAAGTGTCTGAGGCTGGATTTGAACTCAGGTCCTCCTGACTCCAAGGCTGGAGCTCTATTCACTGTGCCACCTAGCTGCCCCTCAGATTCTTTTTAAAAACCAAAGAACATTCATTAGATATGGTTGTATTTTAGGGGTGAAGGTAGCATATAGACACCTGGGAGGTGAATTTTTAACCAAGATGATTTCTTTGCAGAAGCTCAGGCCATGTTTGCTGCTTGTGCTAATTTTTTCACTCCTCTACCTGGCATCCTCATAAGGGGGCTTGGGTGTTAGAGCAGGTGCTTCAGACACATGTTAGATTTCTAGAGGTTTTGTCAGAGCTTACACTGTGAGCCTGGCAAATCTAGAATGTATTGAAACTTGAGTAGAGGCATAAGTCCTGGGATCTAATTCATTGAAGCCTCTTAGTGCTCAGATATATGAACAGATCAAACAGGGTTTCTGCAGATCAAAGGAGGCACCTTACATCTCTCCTCCAGAGCACCGCTCTTCTCCATGGCACTGGAATCCAACTGTCTTTATAGGATGCTAGATTTGGAGGTAGAAGGGAGCTTTATGGATATCTCCTCATTTCACAGGTAGGAAAACTGAGGTCAAGGGCGATTAGGTCATATAGTTGACC